TCCAGCCTATCCAGGTCACGCTGAATGGCAGCACAGCCTTCTGGTGTATCTACCACTCCTCCCAGTTTGGTGTCGTCAGCAAACTTGCCGAGGGTACATTCTAACTCTTCATCCAGGTCGTTGATGAAGAAGTTAAACAAGACTGGGCCCAGTACTGACCCCTGAGGGACACCACTTGTCACCAGCCTCCAACTAGACTCAGCGCCGCTGATGACAACCCTCTGAGTTCTGCCATTCAGCCAGTTCTCTATCCACTTCACCGACCACTCATCCAGCCCACATGAATGAATGAAGCACATGTATAACAAATTTAACTGCATTATTATTTTTTTATTTTTCCATAGCAATTAGATCTGGACTAATAATGATTTGTCTCTTAAGATTTCACTTATACTAACAATAAATTCTTGGCTTTATTTATATATAAGGTGTGCTTCCTCTTTGCCCACACACAAGATTTTAAGCACAACACAGTAACTTACCAATGTGCTCAATTCTGTCCCTGATGACTTCACATTGGTGTGGCCAGTACACCAGGGAAAACTGACCAGCAGGCAACGAATCATCCAGATTCTGAGGCTCCTGAGGTTGGGGTACCACTGTCTCTGAGTCAGGTGACAGCAGAATCTGTTTTGCCCTCGGAAAAAGATGAGCACAAACTGAATCTATAAGAAAGTAAAAGAACCACCGACATCAGTCCCTCTTGCTCTTCCAAATGGAAACAGGCTGCAGAGATCATCTATGTGAAATTAACATAACTAAGCATGGCACAATAAAACTATATCCCACTGAAATGTAAATTTAATGCTCCATCCTGTAAATCACATTGAACTTAAAAGTAGCATTGAATGTGAATGAACAGTTAATTCATTACACCATAAAGCACATCAAGTATCCAAACGCAGCAGAGAAGAGCTTACGTGGGTTCCTATAGAAAATGTTGGCACCTTCCATTATTACTGCTTTTATTACTAGTGTGTTATGGTAGGGCCTACAATCTCATTGTCTGAGTCAAAATCTGTACTGTCGCAGAATATACAAATAATAAACAAAGCTTATTCCTACAAAACTTATCACACAGGGAATATGCAACAAGGTAGTACTGACTAGCATGACAGGAGAGGTAACAATCTGATGCTATCAAGAATTTTGTACACTTGGAGGAGATGGAGTGGTTTGCTTGTCAGCAAGGAATTCTTCAAAATTATGAGAAGCCACTTGAATGAAAACATGACAGGAAGAGAAAAGGCTTTGAAAAAATCTAGTAATTGGATGATTTGGACTGCTGGTACCGTGCACTGACTGCAGCACTGCCCAGAGTTAATTACTTGTCTTTTTCATAGCTATGAAAAGATCCCTGTCCAAAGCATTCCCTGCCCTTCCCACTATCTGCTTAGAATAGGCCAAAAGACAGGAGTTTTGTTTCATAGAAAATTTTTTATATTTGCTTTGGGTCTGAATCAGATACTGGCACCTGTAAGACTTATTTTACCAGAAAAAAAAAAAAATCTAATCAGCTTTAGACCTGGTCTCTAGATCTACTTTTCTTCACAACAAAAGGAGCATAGAAAGCAAAAGCGCTTCACCTGAAGGATCTGGTTTCAGGCATAGATGACATCATATGTGCGAAGTAAATGAAATCAAAACAAAACTGCTGAACACATTTTTAAACTCTAGTGGATACCTAACTCTGATGGATACCTGGATACTATAATACCAAATCAGTGAAAACGGGTGATCAAGGGCATGCTGCAAGATGGAACTGAGATAATTACTTACCTAGGTAAGAACCATAAAAAGTGAGACTAGACCTAGCTCTGATTTTGTTTAGAGCCTGACAGTTACATGAACACTAGTATCTTCCCCCTTCCCCTTTTCTTCCACTCTGTGGTCTTACAGGGAAAATGTAGGGGAATAACTGAAAGAGTCCTAACCTGTAAGAACAGCACACCGCTGATTGTCTTCCGGCACAAAGCATTTAGAGCGGCCTTCATCCTAAAAAAAAAAGAAAATTAAAATATTGAATAAAATCGAAAGTCCACAGCAGGACAGCTTGATCTTGGTTATTTTCAGAGAGAAGAGCTGCCCCTGTTTTGGTTTACTTTATGTCCTGAGTAAGAATTAGGCCAAATCTACATGGCCATGTACTCTGTCATTATTCCTGGCTGCTGCCTAAAGCAGACATGCTCTCAATTGTCCTCTTCTGTTTCGCCAGTGCCTCTCTTTTGCAGTTCTAGTATTCCTACTGTTGTGTGAAAAGCTTGAGTGGAAAACTAATATAAGAAACAAACGTTTGGTTTTCAGCTGCGTTAATTAGCCCTCTGATCCCACTCATCAAACAAGCCTACTGATCCAAGAGGAGGAAGGGAAATGGAAAAGAATAGCTAGGACAGCCCTGCTGGTAGCAGCCCAAACATGTGCCAGGCTACCCCAGAGCAGTAAGGACTAGGCCAGGGAGGTGAGGAACTTGATACTGGGGAATTAAGGCGTTACACTTGGCAAAAATTAAAAAAGCACCACTCGGCAGCCAAAGAGGACGTGGGCCATGAAAAGCGACCAGCTACCTTGGGCTGAGTTCGAAGCACATTGGCAAGGCAGCTCAGAGGCAACACTGCTTGTCCCCTTCACCGTGCTTAACACAGAACATTTATTTCCTGGGTTTGCAACCTAGTCCTCTTTCATCACCACCGTATTCAATAAAAACCCAAATTTCCTTCCTGACTACAAACAGATGTTGATAACATCAAATGCATTTCTCGGCTGGTAAAAGCACTGTCAGCTTGATTTACTGCTCCTATTTACATTCACCACGTTTGCAAAGGTAATACCGGACTCCTAAAAATCTGCTAGCCCAGCAGCTGATGCGGAGCTCGGTTTGTGCGGGCC